GCGACTACAGTATTCGGTTTCTCGACTACTGTATTCGGTTTCAGATTCTCAAATGGTCCAGCGCAATCTTGGCTACAGAACGGTGCAGGTTTTCAACTCTAATTGACACCCTAGTCGTGGGAAGTTAAATCTCATTACCTCCATTAAACTCATTCTCATTTGCTTCAACTTCTATGGACTCTGCAAATAAAAAAGTTGTGTAGAGAATAATTCTAACATTGTAAAGCTGCTCCCAAAAAACAAAAACAAAAAATTGTTTTAAAATTCTCGTTTTATAAGAAAATAAATTAAAAGTAGAAGAAGAAAAATCCAACGGCCAGGTTTAACTTCAAACCTTGAGAGATTCAACCATTTGGTTTAGCTTCAACCCTAGTTCAATTGCTTATCTTAGCTGCCTATTTTTGAAGAAGCGGTTCTAAATCAAACACCGCCACCAATCACAGCCAAATATGTTCCTGTAGATGGATGGCTAAAGCTAACCTGCTTTTTTTGTCCTCTTGCAACAATTGTTCTTAAGAAATCTGTAAAGCGAGAATGCTTCTCCCTGACCGTCGTTCAGTGACCGTAGTTCCAGACAACAAGCTGTTAGCTGTCGAAGAAGTGTCTCCAGATGAGGATACAACTGATCTTTGTTGTTTGGATTTGTAGATAGAATGGCTGCGTTAACTGCATCGGCTACTACTTCCCTTTGTGACTCCTCAAGGAAATACCCTACATTTGATTCCTGGGGTCGCTCGTACACAAGCAGAGCAAAGCAGTTCTGAAATAGATAACAAGCCATTAGAATCTCATTACTTTGAAACATACATTTAAGGTTTGACGAAGCATCAATACCTCTACAATGTCTTTGAATACAGTTAAACCGACGAATTTGGCTAATTCCACTCTTCCATATTTCACAGCTTCTTCTAGTTCTCCGATCTGCATTATTTCATATTTTTCCAGAGATTTACTTAGAGAGAGAGAGCGTCTAAAACCGCCATGGATCTGATGTGTTAATAATATGTAGGGAATGAAGAGCATACCCGTACTAATTCAATAAACTTTTGACAGTGAAGGAGGAAGCAGAGTTCTGATTTATCGTTCTGCAGATAATAGAGCTTGGTAAGAATCATATCTTAATGTGAATCGGCTAATGTTAGCAATACAACTTGTCCTTCAATCCACCTGTACAAGTTGGGGATAGCTATTCCGGAGTTTAGCAAGAGCAGCATCAATCTCACCCTTCCCTATAAGCTTTACCAACCAGAGCATGGATCAGGTGAATATCAAAGAAAGAGATGTAGTACTAATGAAGTTTGCTTTTGATCGGGAGAAAGTAAAAAACAGCAAGATAGCAGTCTAATTCAAAACCTGTCTAAGAATTTTCCTCTCATGCAACGCATATGATGTATCTTGCACATCAATACCATCTTCTTGAGCTACGTAGACAGGAGGAGCTGTACTGTTAGTAGCCAGGTCGAAAGCATGAAGAGTCTCTTCATACCCATAATGAAGCAAGTAGGTCTTTACAAGCCTGATGAACAAAAAACCGCAGTTTAGATATGCAGAAAGTTTATTACCAATCCGATAACAGAAAGTAAAAACAAAAAGTGCACCTCAATTACTACAGAAAAAAGTGTACTCACTGATGACTCATGTTTGGAGGTATGGATATCTTTTCAACCGCTATTTGTTGCTTATTCCTCTCTGATGCTTCATAACCCTAACATAACAAAAAAAGAGTAAAATATAAGCCATACATAGTCATTCTTAAAACCTTACTCTCAAGCAAACACATGACTAAGACAAAAACGAACAAACAAGTAAAAATATTTCCATGTAACCTATAGCTTAACTTTCTTACAGGCTATATATTAATGTGAATCGCAGAGTCCAAGTTGTGTTAACCACAAGGGAAGAGGAAAGCATACATGTAACATGACTATGGTCGTAATTTGTATCAGAACAACATCTTCCACAATAATTTTTAAACGATTTGGAAAAGACCACTCATATGCAAAAACCAAAAAGAGGACCTTACCTTAAAATCAAAAGCAAACTTCTCCTGCCCAAAGTTGACAGTAACCCTGCCAATATTCAGAACAAAAGCATAGAGCACGAATGTGGAGCGCACATGCAAGCATCTGATCATATGAATAATCAATGAGAGAAATAAGAGCATACTCCTCGTTTTGGCTATGCACAGCTACAGTAGGGAATAGAGGACCCTTGATGTACTTGGAGACAGTCCCAACCAGAGTTCCATTTACACTGGCATCAAAGGTAAAAAAATTAACAAGGATATGTCAAATAGCGCGACATGAAATGAATTGGATCTTGACCCCTATTTCCGAATAAATGCTTACGTGAAAAAGAATTCTTGCGAATCATAGTTTATACCACCACCGACTGTATCACCGGTTGTATAAGTTGGACCAAAGGCTTCACCTTGTCTTTTTCCAAGATATATGAATCCATCTTCACCATGATACCCACAAGTATTGACCTCCCATCTAACCATTACACAAGAAAAAATCTAAGAAAACTCTAACCACTG